AGGTAAGTCACTCTTGATTCTTTTTGTGCAATAATATTGTTTACCAATTGAATTTTCCACCTAGTTTGTGTGATTTTTAGGTGGAATTTTGTGAGTTTTTGTCTGGGGATAAGAGAGTTAGATTTGGGAATTTGAGTGACGATTTGGTGTCGGAATTTGCTATGGTTGGACTTGTGGTTGAATGGGCTTTTAGATTTTTTAATTTTAATCGGATTTTGAGATGTGCATCTGGGGTTTTCTTTTGAGTTGACTTTTCGACTTTTGATCATGAACTTAGCATTTTCATATGGAATTGAATCTTATAGTTTGTGCTGATGATGCAACTGCTCGAACTTTCAGCGCAGCTCCTCTTTGTGAGACTGTGGCACATACTTCTCCAAGAAAAGAATGGAGAACTCCTGCCATGTAAGTGGTGCTGCACCAATCGGCTTACGTCTCTCATAAGCCTTCCACCAAGTGAACGCAACTCCAATGAACTGAAAAGTAGTGAACGAGACCTCGCTGGTTTCAAGAATACCTACTGTACGGAGGATCCTCTAACATCTGTCCAAGAAACCCTGGGCATTCTCTCCCTCTACATTGTTGAAAGACGGAGGCTAGATCCTTTTAAACCTCTCCAATCTACGCTACTCATCATCAGGCATGATGGGAACCACATAGTCCTAAGCAGCTACAACTGGTTGGGCTAGTAGTACCCTTGGTGTCTGGAGTCCCTGCATCACCTGCTAGGGTATGCGGGCGGCAGTAGTCTGAGTACCTCCCCCATCCTGAGAAATGGTTGCTACGGCCGGAAGAGATACTGACTGAGCAAGACTGGTGCATACGGTCAAAATTTGAGCTAAGGCCTCCTAAAGTCCTGGAATCACGATGGGCACAGCTGGTGCCGAGCTGGTCCCCGTGGTGCATTTACAATTGGGACCTGATCCTAAACTAGGGAAACTGGTGGATCTGCAGGTTCTGCCCTAGCTGCTATATGACCTGCACCTCAGCTCCTATCATGGCCTCTACAACAACCTCGACCTCTAACGACCCTAGTTAGTGGTACTGGTGGCTCTCGGTCTTGCCTAGTAGCACATGTCCTCACCATCTATGAGAGAATAGAATACATAAGTTTAGTTACCAGAATCAATAAATTCGTACGATAAGAATTTAAGAATGTGAAGTTTCCTAAGGGTTCTGCAGCCTCTCGAAGATAAGTATAGACGTCTCCGTACCGATCCGCAAGACTCTACTAAAACTACTCATGACTCATGAGACCTATGTAACCTAGGCTCTGATACCAACTTGTCACGACCAAATACCTAATCGTCGTGATGGCGCCTATCGTGGTACTAGGAAATATAGTATTTTCAAAACACTTTCAAAATATAATAGAAATGAATTAAGACATTTAAAATAACTGGAGGTTTACGTAACAATAGGGTAAAACCCAAAACACAAGTACAGAATAATAGCCCGACATCAGAGTATCACTAAGTCATAAGCATCTACAACTAGTCTAGAAACATAGTATACCACATTCTGTGTCAAAAGGCCAATACAAAAAGAAAAGAATAGCAAGAAAGGAGAGACAAGTGCTGCGGACGGTGGCAGCTACCTTGTAAATCTCTGATACTCGACCATGCACGAACTCAATGTCCTCCCTAACCGAACACACCTGGATCTGCACATGAAGTGCAGGGTGTAGCATGAGTACAACCAACTAAGTAAGTAACAGAAACAAATAAGGAACTGAGTTGTAGTGACAAGCTCTACAAGTACAGTTCATTTCAGTAATTTCAGTAAAGAATGAGCCTGTTGTCAGATTCGGCAGTTTAAGCCAAATCAGTTTTATACAGTTTCAAGTTCAAGTGAACCAAATATAAAATCTTTTAGAAATTTCACAACAATGACAAATATCAACTAAGTGCAATAACAAAGGAAAGCAAGTACAACCTCTCAAAGCAACAGTCACTCAACTCATCTCAACAACTCAATCACTTTGCTCTCAGCCCTTAATACACACACTCAATAGGTACATGCACTCACTGGGGATGTACAGCATAAGTGCTATAATCCGCATGGACAACTCACGTGCCACTACTAGAAATTGGACCTATAGTAACGGTATTTTCCGCAACGGTTATATAACCGTTACTAAAGACCCATGTAGCAACAGTTATAACCGTTCCAATAGAATATCAAATCAACCGGCACATTTTTGCAAGTAAACCGTTACATAAGTGAAATAACCGTCGCCATAGGGTGTTCTACTGCGACAGTTTTTGTAACCATAATAGTAGGATGACCTGTGGCTACGATTCTTTAAAAATGGGTCTATGGAGACGGTTCAATTTCCCTCCTAACTTTACCCAATTTTATTTTTATTTTCATTTTTTCCCTCCATTAACCAATCCCTAGACTTTTTTTTTAATTTCTAATAACAAAATAGATGGAGCCCACTCAGATGAACTATTTCCTAGAGCACATTGAACAGAACAACACTTTCCACTTTTCTCAACTATTAAACTATCAAATTAGAGAATACTCCCCCAAGCAAATCTGAAGATGCCCAAATTGCAAGGACTCAGCAAATTAATATGTCGACGGTCTCTTAATTCCAGCAAATAAATTGCAAGGACTCAGCAAATAGAGGACTCAGCAAGTAGTCGCCGACGAGACTCCCGTCCAGATATTCCGGTGCCATAACGGTCTGGCCGAGATTTGCTTTTTCGGAGCCTTTTTGATGTGGCCTTTTTGTACTCTACAACCAGAGACTCTTAATTTTTCCGTAGCTGCAAAGGTTATACTCATGGTGACTCTTAATTTTTTCTACAAGCTTATGGTAAGATACACTGATTCCCTTTGTATTTTTGATAAAATTAGTAGGTAAAACAACTTTGGTAGTAGTAGCGGTTGGAGAAGCTGCAAATTTGGTACGATAAGGGTAGAGACTTTGGCTCCTCATCTTAAAGCTATTATTGAAAAAGCTAAATTTTTGTCAAAGGTTAGTATTGTTGTCCGCTTTTCTAAGTAGAAACACTAGAAATTTTCTTCATTTTCATTTAGTAAATGTATTTAAATGGTTTGGATCCGGATAAATTTGAATGATTTACTTTTGTTTTATTTTGGTTTTAATTGTGGGTTTCTTCTTATTTGTTTAATTTTTTGTCTCTAAAGAGTAATAGAATTGCTGGGTTAATACCTAATTTATGGATATTCCTATGTGGTAAAAGGATTTTGGATGCCTAATTACTCTCCAGATTTTTTAATGGCTGAGATGTATTGTTAACAAGGACCAAATCTAATCTCATATTAAAACAAGTTACAAAATGTAAAGAAGCGCACGAGTGTTTGTGAAGATTATCCATCTTTGTGTAGTTTCTTGCTAAAATTATTCCAAGGGGAGCACATAGCCAAATAGGGGGTACCCACTCATTAATGATCCTAGCATTCGAAGTTGGCAACTTTTCAATCTTAATCCAAGTGACTTCACGCATTTGCTGAAATGGCAGCTTTAGCTGATAAATTACTCGCCCTCTTCTGTCAGCTCATTCAGCTGTGCTACATTTTTCTTGGTGCTTTAAGTTGTAACTGTAGCATGTTCCTCTTTCTATTTAGCTAAAGCTTTTTCATATTGGATGGACTAAGAAATACTACTGTCCTGGAAAATACTTATCACCCAGTGCATGTGCCGAAAATAATAAGTGCATGATATGTGTTTTTATATGTATTCTTACTTCAATTTATCAGTTTAGTGTGATAAATTAAGGCATTAGGTCCAGATAGTTTTTTATTGTATCATATTAGTTTCTGATACATGTAAGAGAAAGTAGCAGCTAGCTAACTTGTTGATGCCTTTTCTTTCCTTTTTAACTTAAAAGAGTCGAATCTCTTTCAAGCAGGTATTATGTATATGATTGAGGAAGCAGAGTGGGTGTAAATCAATTAAGTCACTCAATATTCATTAGGTCTCAGTTGCTTTTTTTCCAGGCAATGACCAACTATCTCTAGATTTACTCATTATGTCTGATCTGCATTATCTTTAAAAGATGTCAAATCTCTCTCCCTCTATCACTCAATGGGCATTTATACACGCATATGTCATTTCTTTTTAGGTGGAATATATCGATAACCCCTTGAACTCACATCCTTTCATTTTGGTCCTTGCATTTTAAGCTTTAAATTTTGTTAGAAATATCAAATTAATATGCTTTTTGTTTATTTGGTTAGTTTTGTTGATTTACTTTTATCGTATAGAATATCTATGGATAATGGTGATAAAAGTTGGATGAATCCCTGGAGTGAATGATTTTCTTGATAAGGCATTTGAATGAGCCGCCCAAGGAAATGAAATATTATGCCCTTGCAAAAAGTGCATGAATCGCTATTGGTATTATAGAAATGTGGTGGAGGATCATTTGGTTGTTCATGGATTTGTTGATGGTTATACCAAATGGGTTTTCCACGGGGAAGGATTTTCCTCGAGAAATACACCTCATCAAAGTAATGATGATGAAGGTTCTACCATGCGTGATGATATTGATGGACTACTTCATGATACATTTAGAAATATAGATGGTAAGGCAGGGGATGAAGAAGGAGTTGGGGAAAGACTATCTGAAGATGCAAAGAAGTTTTTCAAATTGCTGGAGGAAGGAAAACAAGAGTTATATCCGGGTTATGAAAATTCCAGTAAACTAAGTTTCACTATTCGATTGTACTTGCTTAATTACTTGCATGGGTTGAGTATTGTGGCTTTCTCTGATTTGTTATAGCTGATAAAAGAGGCATTTCCCTTTTCTCAGGTACCGGAATCTTTCAACAAGGCTAGAAACATGATAACAGATTTGGGTCTTCATTATGAAAAAATACATGCATGCCCTAATGATTGCATGTTATTTTGGAAAGAAAATGCGAATGTTGATAATTGCTCTATTTGTGGGTCTTCAAGATGGAAGAGTGCTGGTCCTTTGACTAAAGCAAGCTCTAAAATCCTTGCAAAGGTTTTAAGGTACTTTCCTTTAAAGCATAGGCTTCAAAGGATATTCATGTGTTCTGAAACGGCTGCTGCAATGAGATGGCATGCTAATGAACAACCCAATGATGGGAATATAAGACATCCTGCTGATGGGGAAGCTTGGAAGGCTTTTGATTCTTTGCACCCAGACTTCTCTAGAGATGCTCGAAATGTTAGATTGGGTCTTTCAAGTGATGGTTTCAACCCATTTCGGACCATGAGCATTTCCCATAGCACGTGACCTGTTATGTTAATGAACTATAATTTATCACCGTGGATTTGCGTGAAGCCAAAGTATATAATGTTGTCTATGTTCATTCCAGGTCCATCATCTCCAGGAAATGATATAGATGTGTACCTACGACCATTAATTGAAGAATTGAAGGAACTATGAGAAACTGGGATAGGCACATTTGATGCTGAAACCAACCAAACTTTACCGAATGTGTGCTGCCTTAATGTGGACAGTTAGTGACTTTCCAGCATTAGCAATGCTTTCAGGATGGAGAACTAAGGGGAGATTGGCATACCCCACTTGCAATTATGACACATGTTCTCAATATCTCAAACATAGTCATAAGATGTGTTACTTGGGCCATCAAAGATTTTTGCCTTGTGATCGTCCATTCCGACGAGATAAAAAGTCTTTTGATAGTAAGGAGGAGCATAGACCTGCACCTGCTCCATTGTCGGGTAAAGAAGAATTTGAAGAGCTTCTTGAATTCAACAATATCTTTGGAAAGAGAGCTAAAAAAGGCCTGGGAGTGATAAGGGTCCGTGGAAAAAGAGATCCATTTTTTTTGAATTGCCATATTGGGTGCATAACAAATTGAGGCGCAATCTTGATGTGATGCACATCGAGAAAAACATATGTGATAGTTTGCTTGGAACTTTATTAGAAATAGATGGGAAATCAAAGAATCATGAAAAATCTCGCTATGACTTACAAGAAATCAGGATACGAAAGGAACTACAACGAAGAATAAATAATGATGGAACTATAAGTTTGGCTAAATCTTGTTTCTACATGAAACCTAAAGAGAAAAGTTTGTTTTGTACTGTCATGAAAAATGCTAAATTACCAAAAGGTTGTGCTTCGAATATTTCAGAACGTGTGCAAGTAAAGGAGATGAAAATATCAGGGTACAAGAGTCATGACGCCCATTTTATAATGCATTACTTGCTTCAGGTTGCTATTAGAAAAGTGTTGCCCAAGAATGTTTCATTGGCCTTGATTAGGTTGAGAAATTTCTTTAGAGCTATATGTAGTAAGGTCATAAGGCGAAGAGATCTTGAAACAATACAGTCTGAAATTGTTAAAATAACATGTGAGCTTGAAAAGATTTTTCATCCAACATTTTTTGACATAATGCCACATTTGCCTATTCATTTGGTGAATGAAATTAAGCTTGGGGGTTTGGCTCATCTTCGTTGGATGTATCCCATTGAGAGGAACCTATGTAAGTACAAGGCATTTGTACGTAATCGATCTAGGCCAGAAGCGTCAATAGCAGAGAGGTTTTTGACTTACTTGATTTTTTGTTCGAGATATCTACATGATGGTGTGAAGACAAAATTTAGTAGGTACCAAACTGTAGATGATGAGTTCTCTCAAAATTTGTCACCTATATTCCCTAATATATGCCATCTAATTGGAAGTAAGAAAAAAATACTTTTCTCATGGATGCACAGTTATGTTTTGAAGCACATCGATATGCTCTGTTCAATACTAGAGATGAGCAAATGGAAAAGTTTATCGAGTAAGATAAATTATATTAATATTTATTTATTTTTATATAATTTTTTCTTTATTATATGATTAATCTTGAAATATTCTTGATTACAAGGAGCATAAGAATTTAATTGTTAATTATAGTAGATCAAATGCATGGGTAAGAGCGAGGGATCATAGTCGGGAATTCAACAATTGGTTTAAAGAGAAAGTTAAAAATATTGTATTGCCATATTATTTAAGATGGCTAGCCAAAGGACCTAATATGGTAGCCAAAAGATATACGGGATATTTTATTAATGGATACCGATTTCATACTAAAGAACGGGATTCCCGAGGCAAGACTCAAAATAGTGGAGTAACTTTATCGGAAATAACAGATAGTTTTGCTAGTGCTAGGGACCAAAATCCCATCGATGGTGAGGTTATCTATTATGGAGTGATTCAGGATATCATTGAGATTGATTATTGGGGTTGTTTCAGTGTTGTGCTATTTAGATGTGATTGGTTTTGTAATGAAATAGATGATTATGGGTTAACTCGGGTGTACTTCAATAGATTATGTAGTAGAGATGACCCTTTTATATTGGCATCACAAGTTTATCAAGTTTTTTATGTGGAAGATACAACTGAGAAAGATATTTATTATGCGAGGAGCAAAGTACCTGTTGATTTGTATGATCTAGAGGAAGAGAACTGTCCTAATATTGGAGAAACATTTTGGAGGGAACCTAATAATGACATTGGTTCCTCATCTAGATTACTTGATATTGACATTAGATGGTCAAGAGATGATGTACCCGCTGATATCATTGATACTCCATCTAATGCACAAAATTCTCATGATACAATGGTGGAAACATCGGAAGAGGAGGATGGGTTTGATGATACTGATTGGGACTGGATGGAAGCAGATGATTAAATAAGAAAATTTTGAAATTCTTTTAAGTATATACTTTTTGAGTGAGTGATAATGCCTTTTTTAATAAATATTTTATGATTATTTTTGTTTATTTCCTTTATAAAAATTGTTCTAATATGCTTCAATTTTTGCAGGATTTGAGAGAGATTTCGGATACTTTGTTCGGTTGTTGAGGCCCATCCCTTCTCCCACGTCCTCTTTGGTTTAGTTGGTAATTTCTATCCTCCATTAAATTATAGCTAATATGATATTTGTCGTCATTCTCACACGGAATGGCTCAGTTCATTCACATTGTTCATTCAACTGAATATTATAGCTGGTTTTTCCAGTTATTGATCTTGCCTCATCATCCACCTGTTGCAAATCCTTCCTAGTTTTCTTCATTGCACAATCATGCTCTTTGTGCGTATCAGTAGTAACTTGTTCTTAGCTGCTAAAATCTGATTTTTAAGACTTGTAGAATTATTTTTGGTTGGTGATTTATTTACCACTGCCCAAGCTTGATCTGTTGGGTGTTTAACAACCTGTGAGCCTGGTTCTTTGTGCGTATTAGTAGTAACTTGGCCAGTTTTCATATCCAACAATCCAGTGGTCTTAGGAATGACTTGCTCGATATACAAAGACCCAGATTCATCTATTTTTTCTTGCTGAAGACCAGCCTGCTCATTAGATTCAATCTGTTGTTGCACCCCTACTGACTTGCTGAGTGTATTAGCTTGATCTTCACACCCATTCAGCTTACTATTAGTTTGCAAAGCTGAATTCACAGCCTTGTAAATCCTCGCCAAAGCTGTAGTAACAGGGACATCACCTCACTTCAGCATTTCTTTCATTTCTTTGGATTGAAATTTAGTGTTGATTTATTGTGCCTCAGTTGCCACCTTAATGAAGACATCCTCCAAAGATGTGTCAGCCAAACCCCAAGATTGGGCAGTATACTTCTTCTTTGCAAGTTTAACTATTAAAAATACATTCGAAATTTTTGCCTCGTCTTTTGGCAGCTCAAATTTCTGGACAATTCTTGAATGGAAAGTTGTAATTGAGGCTTACAGTACTGTTAAATCTTTGTTCTTGAAGTTAAGGTCATATGATTAGATCTATCTGTTTGATTCACCTGAAATATACATTCTTCGAGCAGATTTTTGTTAGAAATGATATACTATGTTTGCTACTTTTGCTAACCTATATTGTGTTTGCTTTTCAGAATCTGAAAAATATTTGAATAGTCATGAATCAAGAAGGGTGCTCAAGCAAAAATAAGAAAATATCCAACCGCATTCCAGCTGGATCACTTGCATCTTTACGAAATCAAAGGGTTTTGTCATTGATAACAAAAAGAACCTTCCAATCTACAAGATCAAATGCAATTGAAGAACGACAATCAGAAGGTGGATTACCTTCATCTTTGCGAAACCAAAAGGTTTCGTCATTGACAATAAAAACAGCCTTGAAAGATCTAAGGTCAAATGCAAATGAAGAACGACAATCCGAAGGTGGATCTCAATTGCAAGAACAAGTCTAGCAAGTGCCACGGAATCGCACCTCTTCAGCAACACAAGGAGTACATGAACAAGTGCAACAAGGGAATATGGATTTCATCACTCCTGCATCACAGGGAGTACATGAACGATCTGATGATTCTACCACTCATGAAACAGTTGAACAATTTATGGAACAAGGCAAATATATATAAATTTTAATCATAAACTTAACTAAAAATAGTGATTAATGATTATCTTTGTTTTGTTATATTGCAGGCCCCTCCTCGCCAAAAAGAAAAAGAGGCCGTACTCAAATGCCAAGGGTTCATGGTAGAAAGGATTCTAAATGAGTATAATCAACCCGTTGGTCCTACTAAAGAGGTTGTAAAAGAGTTGGATAGCTTCCTCGGCACATTGGCAAGAAGTGGGACTTTTTGTCCTCTTAATGTATTTAATTGGAGGAAACTTGACACAAAAGATGATATATGGAAATATATCAAGATATGAAGTTCCCAATGTCCAATAAACATGGATGATATTTCTTATTTCTTACACTAACCCAATTGCACTAAATTTGTAGGAAAAATATGACATTCTTGACGAGGCGAAACCATGGGTTTTTGAATCAGTTTGTATTGCTTGGAGAAAGTATAAGAGTCAATTGAAGACAACTCACTTCACAGCCTATGAGAATGATGAGCTTCGAATGGAGAATAGACCAGTAGATATTCTGAAATTTTACTTTAAGGATATTCTTAAATATTGGAACTCCGATCCTCACAAGGTAATTACATCTAGAATCTCTTGTCTTGTTTTAACATAATTGTTTTTTGGTGTCTGAGTCAAAAGAATCAGAAGTAAAATAGTACCGAATCTGACCATTTGCTTTTCCCCAATCTTCCGCCCTGCCATGTTATGTTTGAAATGTTTCTATAGTAAATTAGTACTACTACTAGTCAGTTTGGTCGAGTAAGGGTTCTTCTTCTTCTTTTTCTTCAACATTACAACAACAGCTTTGAAGTTTCAACAGGTATGTTTTGCTTTTGCACTTTTTATTTTCATTCTTCTTCTTCTTCTTCTTCTTCTTATTCTTCTTCTTCTTCTTCTTCTTTTTCTTTTTCTTTTTCTTTTAAACGTCCAAAAAGTACCGAAATGCTAGCGAATATTTTTCAGAAAAATTCCAAGTTTCTGTCCAATTTCTGCCCAGATTTAAACAAGTAAATATGTCAGTCCACTGGAGATGCAGGTTTATACTAACCTGGGACCTCTTTCATAAGGTAGACAAGATAAATAACACAGTGAAAAAGGAATAACAAAACAAAATCAATTTCTTTTTAGTCAATAAAGAAGTGGAAATGTAAAGAAATTTCCAATAGGAACAAAAACTGGGCATCAGTGGTGACTGCAGTTGTTGTGAGATGTTCCACTAAATTGATAGGGTGGTTTATTATAAGAAGAGACTGTAAAAGAGAGTATGAAACACGGAGTCTCACTCTCTCCATTATAAGCTTTCCCAATTGCAGTAAATCAATCACCTATTGGTTGACTCATTTATTTGCAGAAAATGTTTGAAACCAATACAGAGAATAGAAATAAGTTAAAGTGTCCGCACACTGCTGGCAGAACACATTTTGCTTTAATTCGCGAGGTTTGATGTTTTATCTTTCTTTTTTTTTTTTAAATTATGAACTTGCTAACTTTATATGGAAAGATTCTTATACCTGTTTTCATATAACTAGGAAAAAAAGGAAATCTCTGATACTTCAGATACTGTATCAAGTAAGGACATATTTGTGGCTACATGAAAAAGAAAACTTGGCCGAGTATACAAAAGCTCATATGACAATACGATTAGTAAAATTGTACGAAATTTCTAATTTAAAGTTTGTCGTGCTTACTTATTTGTTCTTAATTATTGATTCAACTTTAGTTACTTAAAACGTATTTTTCTCGCATTTTTGGTTTGTAGGCTGAAATGGAGAGAATACAATCAACTCAGGAAAGTGAAGATGGCAGTCATTCAGATGACGCTTTTGCATCAGTCATGGGACCTGAACATCCAGGTCGCGTGAGATTGTATGGACGAGGTCTGATGAGAGGATGAAGTAGAAAATGGAGGAAATGGGAGAGAGGATGCAACAAAGAATGCATGAAAAGTTGAACGAACAAAAGGATGCCATGGAACAAAATATTACAATAAACGTCATCGCACGACTTCAGCTTCTGCACCCAGATTTGCGACTTGATCCTGACATGTTAAGGTTCAGTGCACGTTCACCTGTAGAAGCTTCCTCTACACAACAAGCTGCTGTTCAACTAAACAGTCTACCGTATACTGGTAGTAACAATCAAGGTCAGTACGTACCAAATGTTATACATCTTCTTCTCCTCCTTCCTTGCTTGGGATTTTGCTTGGTTCAAGGCAGAGGGGATATGAATTGCCATATTTTCCATTTTCACTAGGCAGTCCTTACGGCTGTATTATCATGTCTTTGTACAGTTATATTGACATTTATATCATATGTTTACTGTCTCTGCTATAATGTTATATCTGTTGCATGCAATATGTTTATGTATTATGTCTAAACTGATTGAAATTGGATCAGAGATCCACCTACCTAGTTGTTGTAGAAAGCTCCTTTTCTGCTACAGAGATTACATTGAAGTTCACATATCTCTTACACAAGTTAAGGCTTTACACTTTAGAGAGATAATATACATGGCTCTTACAAACTGAACAAACAACTTTCTTATAGTTTCTGATTTGTGGATTAGCATTTACAAATGCATATACGAGTTTTTGATCAGTTAAAGAAAAACATATGTAAAAGATTTGTGGATTAAGCATTTACAAATGCATATCCTAGGGCAAGCTTGTAATGAAGATTACATCATTGAAATGCATTGGCTACTTTTTTAAATAGCAAGTAGGTTATGGAAAGAAATTACGGTAGTAAATAGGATTCAAGATAGAAGAAAGAGAACCTTGTAATGAGAATCTTGGAATGGTAGATTTTCTGTAATTGTCTTTAGGCTTCCTGTGAATTATCACCACAAGATACAAATTTCTGCCAGGAATTTAAATTAGCAATATCTGAAAAGAAACAATAATAGGAATGAATTTATTTATGACTTACTTGAAGAAGGAACTGCGATGGTGGAAACGAGAAGGGAAAATCCCAAAAATATTTGTAAGAATAAGAATAGAAAATTAGAAGCCCTGTGCTCCATTTTTTTGTTGGAGTATTGTCTTATGACAGGATGAAGGTAGATCTGAGAACAGAGATAGCTAAAACTGCTGGCCTTTTATAAGGGGAGGATACTATTTTAATATTTACTTTCTTAAACAATTTCGCATTATGAAAATTAAAGTACTTTATGAGTTGTCACAAGGCATTTTCTTGATAGCAGGAAAACAAGTAGAAGAGGTTTTCAACTCCCAACATGATCTTTATATTGATGTCTAATATTTGCAAATACTGAATTTCGGTAGTTGAAATACTGGTGAAATATTGAAAAGCTTGTTTGAGAAGTATTTCGAGTGAAATAATCATTTTTACTTATAAAACTTAAAATTGTTCAGGAGATATTGTTCATATAATTTTTGTTCATTTTCAATTTTCGACTTAAGAATAATGAGGCTACCTTGTTAAACTTGCACATTTTGTTGTTGGAATCTTTTATATATGTTTCTCCTTAGACTTAAGAAATGGTTAGAAAATGTTTTGGAAATCTCAATTTGTTTAGTCTGTAGATTGAAGACATGATGGAAAGCTTTGGCGTAACTAGTAAAGTTGTTGCCTCTTGCAGAAATGCAGGGTAAGGCTGCGTATAGCGCTTAGTGCATCGAGCTGCCCTTTTTTGTAGATTGAAGAAATGCTATGAATAATGCTATATATCAAACCCTGGACATAAAAAGTAAATTCAATGTTTATTCTTAAGCAAAACAGGAGAAGTAAACATGGCTACAAGCCTACAACTAACTTGCTGCTATTGAAACTCATTTCTTAGTACACTGACTAAGAAAAGGTTTTTTGCACTCTGTAATAGTAGCTCTCTCTCTTTTTCATGGCAATTTGTGCTATGAGTATTCTTAGACCAGATTCTCTTGAAGGATAATAACTTTATTTATCCTTTTTTGTAGGTGGAGTAAATCAAGAAATGGATGATGAAGACGATGAAGAACTATACCTTACTTGAGATAATTTTGAATTGTTATAGATGAATGTTCTAGGAATCTTTTGTTACCAACATTTTTTGAAACTTATTTAACCTCTTGAAATGTACTATACTTATGCACTCATGGGGCAGAACATTTACTTTATGGATATTATTATTTGCTTGATGGATAATTTTATATTATTAATAGTTTCATTTTATGATGTATTTAAATTTTAATTTTATTATATGTATAAATTTTATTTATAATATGTGCTCTATTTTGGTTTTAATTGAACTGATACAATAGCCTACCTGAACCGTTGCAATAGGATACAAATGGTGTTCCAGTAGACAATGTAAACCATTGCAATAGGTCCCATAAACTATTCCAAAATGATCTACAAAACCGTTCCAAATACAAATATAACCGTTACGATAGCTTAAAGAAACCGTTGCTATATCTAACATAACCGTAGCAATATCTTACATAAGTATTGCTTTAAATAATATGGCAACGGTTAAGAACCGTGGTATAAACAATATAGTAACGGTTTTAAACCGTTCCAATTGAAAAAAAAAATCGTTCCAACAGAGAAGCGGAAAACCGTTGTGATAGACATATCTATTGTCCCGGCGATGCAAACTGTTGCAAGAACCGTTCCAGTAGACCTATGAGTACGCCGGCTGATGTAACGGGCGGTAAACTGTTCCAAAATCCCTACGGCAACGGTTTGGCAGTCTATGGGGATGGTTTTCCAACCATTACTATAGACCAATTTTTTAGTAGTGTGCTAACATATCAAATCAAGATCCACACGGACGACTCACATGCTACACAGACAACTCACATGCTATGGTATCAATATCTCACCGTCAGGCTCTCGGCCTTGCTCAGTCATTAACCTCCCTAGTCTCTCAGTCTCTCAGAAATCATAGAAATCATCCCAAACAGAAGT